CAAAGACTTTACTTTACGCAACAGCCGCTCATGCGGAACACTGTCAAATGCTTTGCAAAATCGAGGTACAATGCATCCACTGGCTCCCCTTAGTCCAGTAGGCGAGTCCAATCGTTCAACGTAGATAATTAGTTAGTGGTGCAGGATCAACCGGCAATAAACCATGCTGACAATCTGATAGGAGATGGTGAACAGTCAAGTGACTGGATGTAATCGCTTTTATTTTCGCGATTTCGCGCAATCGCGTATTTGTGATCCCTCACAACAAATTCCATTACCTCACAAACAACACTTGTCAGACTGACAGGGCCATAGTTACCGGGGCTACTTCTGTCACCTTTTTTGAACAATGGTGTTACTTGAGCTTCTTTAAAAACCGGACGGCAAAGTTCCTTCGTTCAAGGTTTTCATTCAAGGACATATTAGTAACAGCAACAAATATTCGGAATTTACAATCGTACATCTAGGACTAGTTTTCTCGAAATATACTGCAATAACGAGACGTGACGAGAAATGCCCTGATGAAAATAACGAGAAAAAAAGTGTCCCAGAACGGGACCAAGCTTTTTCGATCGTCTCGTTTCTGACAATTTCGCTGACGCTTAAAATGAAAAATTCTATTTATATGCTCGTCAGAATCGCAGTTGGAAGTTGAATTTTAAAAACAGCTCAAGACGTACCGAAAAACTGAAAATGTTCTCCTGCTGTTGTTTCGAACTGTTCAAGCAGATTCTTAAGTTAGGCTTCGATCCAAATAAGTTTGACTGCGAAATCTTGTCAGATGTCTCAAATAAACCAACGGCGGAGTGACAACTTCTGATGGCTTCACGACAACTGGAATTTGACGCCAGATTTGCACGCACCAAAGTTTGGCAGCGCAAGGTTTAGCGCTTCCAAATTTAGGTTGCTGAAGCCCAGTTTTGAAAATGCGTTGTTTCCCTTAGAAATAAATAAATAAATGAACAAAATAAAAATAAAATAACATTAAAATTCTAAAAAATAAAATGCATAAATAAAATTCTCGTTACAATTTCCCGGTGATTTTTTTTTATTCTATAGCAAGCATCTAAGCAGAGAAATTGGCAAACCTTTTTGCATGGTAGTTGACGTTTTCATTTTTAGTGGGCTTTGTTTTAAATGTATATTATAGCGTCAAATATGAAATAAATTAGAGCTCTTGTTGTTGATCGTTCTATTTTCTCCTGTTTTGCTATTAATGCTTTGGATTTAATCCCAGATGAGCTAAAGAAAACATTTTTTTTCATAGCTGTTACTTCCATATAGTGTTTCTGCGCTGAATAATCCACAGCATTTTCTTTCTCCTTTCACATGAATCCATATTATCTCGTTTTGAAATATATCTGATAATTATTTGCTTGCCATGTAGCGCAGCAAAGCTCTCTAAGTTTTTTTTAATCAGATGTCCAATGATTAAATTTTTTGTTGTTCAGTCACTTGCGTGAGACTCGTAGTCACTTCTCAGTTGTAGCCGAGTATGCGGAACGGACGCGGGAGCACTCTAGCTACAGTGAGGCGCGGAGTGTGGCGGCCATATTTGTGGCACGCGCAAATTAGTCTGTCACTAGTGCAATTAGGTAGCGTTACCGCAGAGATCTATTGGGCTGCCGCGAGAAATATCGTCTCTCTATACGGGCCCTAGACACGCTGTAGCTTGTGACGCGTAGGTCTTTGGGTACAACTAAAATTAATAAACGAAAGAAATTAATTAAGCAAAATTAAATTGAAACAAAATTTAAATAGTATATTCTGGTAATTGCAATGAAGGAAATATTTGTGTTATTTTTGATTAGCGATGCCGACTGCCTGACAGGATTCATGGAAAGTGCAGGTCCGAGGTTAGCATAGCTCAGCAGGTTTACGTACCTCGCCAATCAAAAATTTGCATCAAAATTTGTATTTTTGGCCAGAGTTTAACTGATGTTTTGTTTTGGTTCACCGTTCATTTTTTCAATAACTAACTCAAGCATTAAGGTGGTCAAGTTGACTCATATCGCATGAAATGCAACTACGTTGAGCTTCATTTGATTTTGTTTTCTAATACACATTACTTTTTAGGCTTGACAAGTTTGAAGTGAGTTGTTACCAAGAAGTGTCGAAAATTGCACGCATCAGAATTGATAGCCTTTAATGCAGCAATCGCTCAAAAGAAATTCAGCAACCAAAAGACCGATTTTTTTAGTTGATCTTAACCACCATTTGAAACATTAAAGGGATTTTATTGCATAGTGCCTAATGATAATTATGCGTAATTATATTGAGTTGAGAATAGCCTGATGATTTGCTACCTATACTTTCCCCTTGCCCTTGACATGAGAGTCAAGGTTCCCTGAGCTGTAATGGTGACATTATAGCAGCGGGTGACCTCTTACATGCCCTGGTTGTCAATAGCGAGGATCAACCAGCGAGCGATCGAAAAGTCTTTTATCAATCAACTTCGATGGAAGCAGCGCACCGCATGAATGTCGTTTCCATTCTTCAGATCTTGAAGATTTCTTAGCTGCGCGTTTCACTGTTACTTTCATTATTAATTCGAGTTTTGTACCAGAGAAAACATTTTCTCTTTCGACGAGTTGGGTGATATTGCGATGAATTTGGCGAATTCAATGCATTAACCCCACGCTGAGACTCATAATGTATCGTCGATGCATTCGAAGCTGTTATAATGAGAGATTCAATGCCTTTTATGATCCTGTTTAGAGGTATTGAAGGCAATTTGAGTGCTCAGATCAAGGTTACAATATGCAATTGAAGATTTTTTTCATTTAAACCTAATTTAGTTTAAAATTATTCAATTAAAAACAGGCTTTGTTGTTAGACTGATTGACTGATTACTCAATAGCGCTAGGAACATTGAGAACGGATACCTAATTCTTGAACTCAAAGACCCCAGGTGTTGCTATTGGTGCCCCTATTTTATTATTATTATTAATAACATTTTATTATTATTTATGATGCATTTTATCATTATTTTTAGTTATTTTCCATCGCCCGTTTAAACAAAACTCGAAAACTTGTAAATTTAAATTGTAGCAGTGAATTGTGACTTCGAAACCGAATAATGCTGTGAATGTTCTGCGATGTTAAGAATCGGCGACAGGCCTACGGCCTACTAAACGCTGAAACCGCTATTATCTGGCAGTTACTGGGCACGAGTAAGTGAGTCATCACGTAAGTTTTTCACAGTAGGCTATAGATCGATAGGAGAAGTGTGTGAAAGATTCGGTTTTGACAATTCGAACAAATATTCTATGGGAAGTACACTAAGAAGTTAAAGAAACACACGTGCATGCAAATGCGAGCTTTATATCTCGACATAAATGGAATCAATAATGAGTTGATGTTAATGCAGGTGCTTACAGGTTGCGCAGAAAAAAGTTTTGTCGCAATGCAGAAGCATATATGTTCGATTGACTAGTAAAAACTATTCTCATTTTAGTTTTTTCGAGCGAAAATAAATGAGCGCAATCGTACTTCAGGTAAAAAGTAAATATACATATTACTATAGCACTCTTTTTGAAAATAATTACGCTCATCATACATTTCTGTGCAGGGAACAAATATAAGAACCTGTTTTTACATGATTTAATACAAATTACGTCAGCTATTGTGCCTTTGACAAATAAATAAATAAGTAAAAATATGACCGCAAATAGCCATTTTCACATAATCGTATGGTACGGTTAGGAAAGGTACTTTACCTTGCAATATTGATACCAATAAGTGGGAAACATTTCTCTCTGCATTTCTTCAACAAAAATTAAAATTTTCTTAACCAAATGCAATCCAAATGTGAAAGCTGCAGGAGAGTAACTTATTTTCCCCTGTTCACCTGAATGGGCAGTTGTCTCTCCCATCCAGTGACATTCATATTATCTAGTTTATCATATGTACATTAGAGGCAGACGCAATCAAAAATAACTTAAAATGCTGAGTAAATTTGTGGAATATAATCTCTATATCCTCACATTAAATCTTTGACTTTTTAGATGCATATTTAGGACTAATCAACACTAGGATAGATGAATGCTTGCATTTTCGAGTAGTGGCCATTCCGTCTTCACGTAATATTGAAAATGCAATTGATTTTTATTAATTTATATTTCGAAATGAACACATAAATCGAAATTGATTATTACTCGTTGAACCGATTGGGGACTGTTTTTAGGTATAAACCGTTTCTTGGCTCCATATGTACACATGCCACCACACTGCCGATCGTTAATAAACAGAAGTGTTCATGGAACTCTAGGCTACATCAGTGATCGGTAATAAACAGAAAGTGTTCATGGAACTCTAGACTACATCAGTGATCGTTAATGAACAGAAGTGTTCATGGAACTCTAGGCTGCATCAGCGATCGTTAATAAACAGAAGTGTTCATGGAACTCTAGACTACATCNGATGTGTATAAGAGACAGGTAATGAACAGAAGTGTTCTGACAACACCAGCCATGCTGACAAGATTCATGGATGTCCATTCGTGCCAAAGAACCGTTCACTCTGTGTTACCTGAAGAAATTAGCCTAGTTTATTATGGCAAGGCTAAGTGAACAATATGGCTAGGAAAGTCACGCATGTGACAGCTCCTCACGCTAACAAATTAGTGAGAGTGCAATTCTGTATGGATCTCTTCGCGTCACGTCCGTGTAGCATTATTGGCACTGAAGCACTTCATTCTCCATGCAATCAATTGCATGTTGCTACTCGGAATTAATTGAAATTGTTATTCTTAATCGATTCAAATGTATTTATTTAGTTTTAATTCATAACATTAGAAAATCGGTTGGATTAAATTGATTAAGGAAAATATGAGTTGTTAATTGTCGTTACACTAGATTTAATAGAATGTATCAGAGACACTATCACGGTTGAGGCGTGATTGCTTCTAACGTATCGTGTTTTTATCGTATCTATAATATCCATATATCTAGTTGACAGTCATACGCAAACAGGGAATTACAATTCGAAGAAAAAAATACAACTAGTTTATTAATGTTGGAATGAGATTAAAAAATGAGGAGGAAAACATTTTTTTGCCATCGCTTCATTGCCGACGACTCGTTTGATCGATATTACTGAAAGGAAACATTCTCGTTATACGAAACTCGAACGAGAACTTAGATATAAATAAATTAAAGCATCATTGTGCAAGCTCATACTTTCAATAGTTCTTTTACATTTAAAAAAGCTGTTCTGGATTAAACATATTTTTTTTCTCTGAAACATCATCATAACGGAAATTGTAAATGTAAACGAAATGGGATTACACCAAGTCTGCTCTATGGAGTCTAGGATCATAGCTGCCATGTTCAGGTTCAGGTAGTGGTACGTTTACGTTCTCTTGATAGGAATACGCGTTCTTCTCGTATTCTTGGGGGTAATAGTTCTGTCCTTCTTGATAGTATTCCATGTTGGGATGATGGCGAGACGCATTTGCCTGCGACGGATGTCGACCTCCCGTTGAGTAACCATCTTCACTCCATTGGTCGTACGGCACTGGATTTTGAGTCGCATGATGATCGTGTCGCCTGGAATGACTCAAAGTGGCCGCCCGGTCGACTTCCATAACCGGGTGTGGCTGGTGCACAGGGCGGCAGCTGCTCCTGACAACACTATTTGCGTCAACTGTAGGGTTTTTGATTTGAGAATAAGGCACTCGCCGGAAGTTCCCATCATTTGGAGGAGGATGGCTACTGACGATGTGGCTCTCGGGCGGTTCGTAACCTTTCTTCTTCGGTTTCGGTGGCGCTGATGGTCCAGCGTTCGTGCGCTGAGACTGGCGTACTGAATGTTCAATGACAGCTTGAGTGGTAGTGTAGTGCTTGCTGCGAGCCCCTTGACCGTTATCCGATAACACCAGTTGTTTCATTGATGGAGCAAGCTGTTCACCGTCTTGAGACGCTCCTGACCAATCATTTGATTTAAATGCTTGTTTCTCTGGAACCCCAAATCTGTCTAGATCGTCGGAACTTGCGTTGGTTGCAGTGCGCTGTCTAGCATAATCCAATGTGTTGGCTCTACTATCAGAGTTAGGCGTCATGCTACCGCCATACTCGAGTCGATATCGCTCTTCTTCTTTCCTCCTTCTATCAGCTGCAAGCTTTTCTTTTCGTTCTAGCTCTTGTTTTACCTTTAGTTCCAGAAAAATTGATCGTGCCTTTTGCTTTCGTTCTTCTTCGCGTTCTCTCACTGATGAAACTGAATCAGTTCTGTAGTTTATGTCGGCATCGTGAGCAGCGTTTAACATGTCAACGCTTTTAAATCGCTTACTCAGTTTAACTTCTTTGCGGCCAAGATTTTCATCGTCTGACTGAACATCCTCCGCCGCTTTAATTTGCTTACTTTTTGATGCAGATTTAGATTTGTTTGACCTCGTTGAAGAACGAACATTTTTAGACTTCTTCTTCCGCTGCTTAATTTCAATATTGCTTCTGGTGCTCCGATTCTTGGCTTGTTTCCGAGCATTTGCCTTCGCAAATTCATCACTTTCGCTATCAAATGATGAATGCAGCTGCTTGTTGCTGGACTGAGCGACGCGGAGACTTGCCGAGTCGTCAGAGCTTTCCCGACGAGTGGACTGGCGCTTGGACGGCCGGGCAGCGGCAACCGGAATTTGGCGGTCGCTTTCATCGTCAGAGGCCTCGGAAGGACGCGAGTGTACAGTACCACTAGGAGCCTTCTTTTTCTGACGGCTTTTTGAACTCCATTTGAGGAAGATATCCACAGTGCTGATCATCTTGCCCCCACTGTTTTATTCTCTCTAGCACAATGCCGCGTCTGATCTGCTGAAAAAAGCAGGGTGAGTGAAATTATTAAAATGGTAAATATTGTAAATCTTTATCAGGACTACCGCACATACTTCTATATCCTTGTAATTTCATGGGTAATGTACTGAATAATTTGATAACACAAATTTAGTTGTCTTAAGTTTTTATGTTACCCCTAAAAATGGTAAAATTTAATCCAACTTATGTGATTGTTTACTTTAAATTTAGATTACTGTTTTAATTCGTTAGTGACTAAGAGAATCATTTCATTAATTAATCAATGGTGCGAATTTTGGTCGTGCGTAATCTTTGATCAATTTACAGACGCGAATGTTTGGTCGTACTTCTGTCCTCTTGTAAATTAGAGCAATCTCTAGTGCGCAAAACATCACCTTTATAAATTCCGTCAATTTAGGTGTAATTAAATACTGGGGAATTTTGTTACAAAAAAAGGGTGACTCGGAAGGGTTCCCACAAACAGAATTTTTCCAAGTTATTGGAATGTTGTGCGTTATTTCAGGCTTAATTTAGTGGGCTTCACTACGAGAGAAGTTTTACATTGCGCACATGAGGTACATGATATATATATTTTCACTAAACCTTATTCAGCCAAATTGCAAACTACTTATTTTGTACGTATAATTTGATGCCTTTAACGTCTTGAAGAATCCACTTCATGTTCAATAAATTTTTATAGTTGTGCAGTTGCAAATACACTGAGTCTTTTTAAAACAAGTAAAAGAGCATTACTTTTTTGTCCGTTTCTTATATGCGCAATTTGCTCCATAATAAAGAAAAACTGGGTCGACCGTAGAGCAGAAGGTTATTAATGATTATGCGTGGTTGAAAGTTTTCCAGCTGTTTCTAATAAGAATTTAGATTTAATATCCTTCACTTTTTGTGCATCTTAGATCATTGATGATATTCACAGCAAAGATATTCCCAATGGTTTCACGGTTAACTGAATTTATCAATGTTTTAAAAATTTACTATAGATCTAACTCTAATAATATGATCTCCAATTTACCTGATTTTCTTCGCAATTGGTGAAAAGTCCGAATGATTTTTTAGTACTTAATAACGATATATGTGCTGTTAAAACACACTGCAGCTCAGTTACTGATCGCCACGGCACAGACTGCCACAGGAATATACGTTATTTAAGTGCGGAGTTGCCTGAGCAGTACGTAGATAACTCGTTGATAAGCCTCCGATAAAGTCAGATAACGAGCTGATAGTTCTGTCGTACCTGAACATTACTCACCAAGCTTGAACCGGATCTTGAATACAAAATAATATCATCGAGGCTCTACTTAAGCCACGGCTGTGATGAAGTTTTAATGGTGACTCGTCATTAGATGATTTAATCATCGAAGATCTAATGAGGATTCGGGTAAATGTCTTTATACAAAGCGTCCATTAGGTCTGTCTATTTCTTTGATAGATATTCATTGTCGATTAATTTTTAATGATTGAACATGAGTTAGATATGATAATATTTTAGCAGAAAAAAATTATCGGCGGTTTTCGTTCTTTTACGAAGACTTTTTAAACTACTTAATTTTCGGTCCTTTCATGTACTTTGAATATTATTTTGTCTATGTAGCATGATTTCATGAACATAGAAATACTTAACCATTTCTGAATATTACTAAAGATTGTTTCAGATTTTTTGCCAATCGTTGATTTGTTAAATCTAAAACTAGTTTAGACGATGCGCGAGTGTTTTTTTCGAATTTTTACCCTATTTTTACATCATTACATGATATCAGTAAATTCTAGACATTAAGGGACAGTCCTTTAGCTTTGCTTGAATTGTGCACGCATGTTTTTTTCTTAATGTTTCAAATGGGAGTTTAACATCTGCTGCTTAACTTGGTTATTTCACGAAGCGAGTTAAAATTCATAAAATTCACGGGACATGTGCTTTGAAATATTTTGAATTTCTTCAAAATTTTCAAGCAAGGCATGCTCATCCTATGTTCCTACTCTCGATGATGGAGATCCAGAAGTGGCAGTTGCGTTACAATTAATGCTTATGTATAGCTAACCTGTGACACAAATCAAACTAGAAGAAGTTAAGCAATCAAAGTTGTTCAACTTGAAGAAAATTCCTTATCCATTGTAGTAATTGTTGGGATCAATAATAATACACTTAAAAATTGTGTTTATTTTTTCAGATAAGATTTTTGTTCAGTCTATTTGCATTTCCGCAGCGTTGAACGTCTGACTATGAAAAAATCATCAAAACATATAGCACTTGTTGTGCTACATGTTTTGATGATTTTTTATAATACGACCCCTGGTAAGTGAAGCGTTGAAAGTGCGTATCTGTAGTACTGAGTAAAGAACTTGACTCACCGAACACCGGAACACTTGATGACTTCATGTTAGCTGATGCATATAATAATACTAGTCGATTCCCGTTAAGCAAACTACATCGAGATGCGAATGTTTTGGTCCCTATAACAGTTTGATTTGATTTACCTACCTTTTTCAACAAGACGGAATGTCATGTGTTTTAGAAATGATTTAACCAAGATAACTGCATTCAGAGGAAAATAATATTTTGGGGATTGAAAAAATGAGTAGCTGCCATGTCGTGCATGGGCTACAGTCCTGTGTGAGCCGCTTGAAACGGCTGTAGCTCCTGCTTTGAGGGCTGCAGATAATAAATTTTCTAGCGTGCATTTCATTCAATAAAAAAATTATTTGCGTTCGATATGATCAAGGAGAAAGTGTAGAAGTGTATAATTGTTACTGCAAAGTACAAATAATTGTCATGACATTATTTGTACTATGGAAATTTTCACATTCAATCTGCCGACCTTGAACCTATATAAGCGTCGTGCAAGGTCAGAAAACTACACTTATAGCAGCGGTGTTTAAAGCACAAATTTACAGATAAACATTAAACTTTACACCATAGATGAAGTAATATTAATAACACTTAAAACAACCATATCACAATGACCATAACATTACCGTATGACAATGACCATACCTTGACCATATATATCACAATGACCATAACTTGACCATATCAGAATGACCATAACTTGACTGTATTCGTTTTTAGGTAGGGTTGTTACTGCTTTGTTGAATATCATTTTTAGTCGCCATGCTAGTTATTCTTATATCAGTTTTACTAAAGGTTAGTTTTTATCAGGATGTTTCCAATTTAGTCACTTTTAGTTCCCTTTTGTCTTATCCCATCGTCATTATATGTTATTGTTATTGTTTTGTAATAATAAGCCGCTACGTGTACTTAGGCCGCTACGTGTACTTGGGCCGCTATGTGTACTTAGGCCGCTACGTGCACTTAGGCCACTACGCGTGTACTTAGGCCGCTACGTGTACTTAGGCCGCTACGTGCACTTAAGCCGTCGCTACGTTCACCTATGCAAGTTTTGATAGTGCGACACTCAGTGGAGAGTTGGAAGTGCGTATCTGTGATACTGAGTAAAGATCTTGACTTACCGACCACAGGAACACTTGATGACTTCATGTTAACTAATGCATATAATAATCCCAGTCGATTCCCGTTTAGCAAACTACATCGAGATGCGATTGTTTTGGTCCTGGTAACAGTCCGATTAACATATCTTCTACAACGAGACGGAATGGCATGTGTTTTTGAAACGATGTAACCGAGATGACTGCATTCAGAGGATAAAGTAGCTGCCATGTTGTGGGCTACACTCCAGTGCAAGCCCCTTCAAATAACTGTAGCTCGTGCGTTGAGGGCTGGAAATAATACATACATTTCCTGGTATGCATTGTTTTAATTCAAAGAAAAAATATGTTATATGTGTTAAATTTGATCAGAAGGAAGTGTGAATCTGTATATTTGTTACTGCATGTAAGGTTTATTCATTCACGAAGGATTTGAAAACGCGAGATTCCTTGCACTTCTTATTAAAATCGGTTTCTGTAAAAAAGCATACATTGATAAAAATAATCGCTTATAAATTATAGTAGTCCACATAACATAAATAAGACAAGAAAAAAGTTTATTTCGAACAAAACACATTAAGAACTTGAAGCGAGTGTGATTAAACAGAACGAGATCCCTAGCTAAAACGCGTACGTAGGTACCAAATATTCCCTTCATCCAGGCAAGTCGAGAGCCAGCATGGACCTAAAATAAACACGTAGTTTAAAATCGACTTTAACTAAGTTGCGTATGACACATACGCAAAAAGCGGAAAATTTATTAAAAAAGGTACTTGTAAGAACCTATATATATGTATAATTTACATGCCATTATTAATATTTTGTACTTTGGAAATTATCACATTCAATCTACCGAGCATGAACTTACGTAAACGTCGTATAAAGTCGGAATATTACACTTAGCAGCGTTTTAATCGCAAAGTCACAGATACCAATTAAACTTTACACGCATCGTAAATGAATTAATATTACTAACTATTAAAATAACCATACCACAACGGCCATTACTTGACCATATCACACAACTAACAACTCTCGATGTTCCAATCATTCGCCGTCCCTACTCACTTGTCTCTTGAAGCGATCGATAATTTGACAAGATTTTTCAGAACAGAATCTAATTAAAGTTTTATTAATTGATTGAGTCCCAAATACACACTTTTTTGGCTACGGGAAGTGAATTAATATGTACAATAATTCAGCAAAATCATGGCGAGTGGAGAGACGCAATCGTTGGCTCGGCGAGCCCTGGAAATTTGTTGTAGTCCGCCCACGGAACAAGAAGAACCAAGCCCAGCTTTAGGCCGCCCAATTAAAGATAACCTGAAACGAGCCACAAGATTCTCCTTTTTTTAAAATAACAATGATTTCACGATGCATATTGCTTCACAATTCAGATGTGTAAGATATAGAGGGAGCATTATGAAAGTAATGAGTATTTTCTGGCAAATAACATTTATTGATCGTAATTTGTACAAATGTTCAATAATCTTCAAAATAAATTCCTCCTGTATCAATACACTTAATTGCGGAGACGTTTTTGCCACGCCTGAAAGGCACCCTGAAACTCCTCGACGGGAATGCCTCTCAGGAACGTTGTAATATGGTGTTGCATGTGGAAAAGGCTGAGTTTACAGTTTGTCCTTGCGGTACAAACTCACAATAAATATTCCTCGGATGTCAAAGAAGACAATGATCATCGTTTTGATCGCAAAACTTCGCGCACACGATCCGCGTTCTCTTCAGTTTGGGTTGTTGTTGGGCGTCCAGAACGGGGTTCGTCGGCGACCTCCTCCCGGCCCTCCTTGTGCCACTTCCCAGATTGTGATGTTGAAATGCAATCGTCCTTGAAGGCTTCTTGCAGCATCTGGAATGTTTCGGTTGCATTTCTTCCAAGCCTCACGCAAAACTTTATGGCGTATCGTTGTTCCAGCGAACGCTCCATCGCTCTATGTTACAAAAGTCGTCAACACATTTCACGCGGAGGCTCGTTCCCCCTCTCATACTGTTCGAACTCAACTGACAACCGGATACACTCATTACCCTGAAGGGGTATATCCCCCATGCACCGCATTCCCCAGCCCGTTTGACCGCGCTGCCATCTATCGTCGCGTCACAATAACATCATGTTCATTACTTTCATAATGGACTCTGTACATTTTCCTGCACAACATTCAATTTTATAGTTGAATTTTCTTTCTTGCATTTTATTATTGAACCCAAATTATGAATATAGAATAATATATATTCATTTTATCTAGCAGGCAGAAGCGGATGTGAAGATTCTTATGTAATGCTCGAATCTAAATTAATTATTAATGTAAATTAATGATTTAGTAAAATATATTTAGCTGATAAAAATTCGATAAATGGTTTGGCAATATGCCAAATTCATTTGAAGATATTTGATTAAATTGAATTACGAAAAAAAATTTAATTTCACGTATGATAGCCATTCAAATTGGATAGCAGAAATTTGTGTCCTATAAATGGAATTGCGCCAAATCTTAATTCCCAGTGTGATAACTACAATAATAATGTTTAAGTGAAGGACAATTTAACTTATTTCATTGTGAAAATATTCCGTGAAGACAGAAAGCATCGAATAACTTATTATTTGCTTAATAATAATCACCGGTCAAGTTTCAAAAAAGCCAATCCAGTAATTCTGGTACTG